GGGGGGGGGGGGGGGGGGGGGGGGACACTGTTCAGTGATTTGTAGACATACATGAGTATTTTGAACTGGATTTGAAGGTGAACCGGTAACCAGTGCAATGAGGCCAAAACTGGTGTAATGTGCTCTCTTTTGCCTGTACTGGTTAAAAATCGGGCTGCTGCATTCTGGACCAGTTGTAGTCGTGCAATGGAGGTCTGACTGATACCAAACGGGAGCGAATTGCAGTAATCAAGCCTAGATGTAATGAATGCATGTAATACGGTCTCCAGGTTACTTTTGGACAATATGGACTTCAGTTTAGACAGCCGCCTCAGTTGGAAGAAGCATGATTTAACAATCATGTTTACGTGACGGTTAAGTTTCAGGGAAGAGTCCACTATCACTCCCAGATTAGTGACTCTTTGCTTTTCTGACAGGGTAAGGCGGAAATGTCGATGCAGTGGTTTGTGATCGTGTCCTTGGGAGGGAACAACATGACTTCAGACTTCTTTTCATTGAAACTTAAGAAGTTTAAAGCCATCCAGTCCCTGACGTCAGCCAGGCAGTCGAGCAGCAGTTGAATAGAGCATGTACCATTGTGTCTTAGGAGGAAGTAAATTTGACAGTCATCGGCATAGAAGTGGAAGGGCATGTTGTGTTTCCAGAAAATAGCACCAAGTGGCAGCAGGTATAAAGAGAATAGGAGGGGACCCAGGATGGACCCCTGCGGAACCCCCCATTTAAGCTCTGGCTCTGCAGAACTAAAATCCTTGATGGAGACACAAAAGGATCTGTCAGTGAGGTAAGATCTGAACCAATTGATGGCTGATCCTGTGACGCCCACCCACTGCTCCAACCTAGCAATGAGGATCTCATGGTCGATGGTGTCAAAGGCGGCTGTGAGGTCCAACAGGACAAGCAGCACAGAATCACCGGTATCTGTGAATCTGAAGATGTCATTAAAGACCTTCAGCAGGACAGTTTCAGTGCTGTGGAGAGGTTTGAAGCCAGATTGGAAAAGCTCTGATTGTGTGACCTTCCAGGAAGCACTTCAACTGGGACTCAACTATTTTTTCCTAAAAGAAATGTAAGAAGTTGTCGCACAGCTCAGTCGAGGCTTCCAGAGGTGATGGTTGAGTGAGGTGGAGAACAGAGCTTAGGGTAGAGAAGAGGACACGTGGGTTGTGACAGTTTGAAGTAATTATATCAGAGAAGTATTTGGATTTAGCAGCTTTCACTGCTTTCTGATAATGGCACCAACTCTCTTTAAAAAAACTGTAGTATGCTTTTTTTTTTTATATATATATATAAATGTTTATTGTTGTTGCTGTTGTCCATTGTTGTCATCTTTCTTTGTTGAAATCAGGTCTCTCTTGTAAATGAGTCCTTGAGGCTCAATGGGATTTACCTGTATAAATAAAGGTTGAATGATTTAAGTATTTGAAAAGAGACCTGCAGCCGGTCTTTCCTCCACTTTCGTTCCGCCCTCCTACATTGCTGCCTAGCGGCCTTGGTGATGTCACTCAGCCAAGGTTCTGCTCTGAGTTTTGATTTTCTAGTTTTAACAGGCGCAACATGATCCAGAGTCTTTAAGCAGACAGAGTTGAACTGGGATGTCAGCTCCTCAGTGGTGGTGAG